GTGTGTGTGTGCGTGTGTGTGTGTGTGTGCGTGTATGCGCGTGCGTGTGTATGTGTGTGTGTATACAGTCCATTCATGAAAGATGGCTCTGGCAAGCTCCCGTATTTGGCGATTTTTCTTGATTTTATCGTACACAGTGCAGTGGCGCAAAATTTGAAATTGGATAAAGGGTCCAAAAGAGGTACCTGAACTGGGGTTCGAGCCGCGCAGTGCACTGTTGCAGGCGGGGTCAAACCGCCTGGAGTTTGATGGTTTTTCCCAATTCAGGGCTTTTGGGACAAACCTGGCTGAAATCCTATTCTTGTCAGGGCTTGCTTTTTGAAGAAACAGAAATGAAATAGACTTCCATGTTGAGAAACATAACACTACTGTATAATTGTAGCAGATGATATGCCAAATAAAGGGCCGTCCATAATTATCGATCTTTAGGCCTCGGTCACACTACGGCAGTTTGAAGCTGGACGCAGCGTCAAGCCGCAGCACTTGACGCAGCGCAGACGCGGGGTCACACAGTGTTTTTTTTTTTTGCAGCTCATGACCATGATGACTGCCGCGGCCGGCCTAACCGCATTTGTCTACGTCACAAAATCACCAGGGAAACTCAATGACGACACGGATTCCCACGGAAACCGGCCTTTTGCTTATCATACAAAAAAATTGTCGGACAAAGTTTTCAAATTTGTCATTGATTTTTGATTACAAGAAGACGAAAGGTCCACGCGTGCACGATCGTTGTTGTTTCTTTCCGAATTGGAAGCCATTTTCAGTTGTAGTGTCATGGATCAGGCAAGAAAAGTCCGCATCGCAGCTGTGTTTCTCCTGACTTCGTCATACTGGTTGTCCTTTTGGGGGCTCTTGACAACAACACAACACTCACAAGTCAACAGGCTCCAGTTGGCCGATGACCCACTCGAACAACTGGTCCTTTCTCGACATCATTTTCTTCTCAGAAAACGCCTCGCTCTGCCGCCAGGTTCGCGTACGGACTCCTCTCGAAAAAAAGAGGGAACAAAACAAACCTTGAAGAGACGAATGTCGAATGAATGCTCAACTCGAACATCTGTCTTGAAACTAATTTTACTTGAAAGACACTGTTTTCCCGCCAAGCGTCACTCCCACCAGCGGCAACGCAGTCGATTTCCCCACGTCAGACGCAGCAGCGTCTGACGCTCAAACTACCCGCGGTTGCGTCAGTTGCCATGGAAAAGCTCATGATTCTGACGCTGACGCAGCATTTTTGCCGTAGTACAGTGTGACCGAGCGTTGCCATGCAAAACAAAATGGAGAGCGTCGAAGGGGTTGAGCAGGATCAAATCAGGGAGTCGTAAAATACCGGTATTTTACGACTCCCTGGATCAAATCCATGTGCGCAGGTCAAGCTGCGGACCTGCGGTTCGAAGACGAGGACGGACTGATCAGTGTGATGGTGGACCAAGTGATCCAACACTGAGCTGAAGACGAGGTTGGCGAGCTACTGCCTTGTACTGTCAGTAGGCACCATGGCAAAGGAAGATAGAGTGTGATGGAGTGTGAGAAGATTACAAGTAGTCAACATGGCAAGATCAGCGAGAGCAGCACTTGAAAAACCAGGAAAAATCTAAACTACATACGTGGAAATTTTTAAATAATCGAGAGCAGCAGAAAGCAAAAATACAAACATAAAAAATATACACAACAGAACAACAAGGACAATCAAGGCTTGTTTGCTGCTACTTTAAGGGGGCACATCACCCAAAAATTCGCTGAAAAATCGAATTTGTAAATTCATATTGAGTGCTACGTCAGTTGAAAGAGCATGAATAGCTGCAAATTCTCTGAAAACTGTGTCCCTATCTGACCAGCCGTTCAAGAGTTATGGCCGAAAATGTGCCCTTGCAAGGAAAGATTTTTTTGTTGCATGCTGTCATTTGTTGGCAGCACTGTATTTGAATGTGAGCAGACCGTGCGCAACTTGTCGTATTATGGAAACACGCGAAAGTGTGCAGAATTTTGCCCCAAGTCCAAAAAAGTCCAAAAAATCACGTTAAAAAACCACGTATTGGGCTGCACGGCGGCGGGCGAAGCCCGCCGCCGTGCAGCAGGACTTTTGCCAGCACTCTCGTGACGTTGCAGATATGTGGCTTGATTATTGTAGTTGACGTTGATTTAGTGACTTTGGCAAGTTTGAGTCGTGTCAAGAAGTCAGGTAGGATTCAGTACTAGGCAGTAGTGAAACGTGAGTGGCAGTCTTTGCCGGTTTCTGAGGGCATCCTGGATTTGGTGTGCAGCGCTGTGGAAATGGCTTGCTGTGGAGGTCCCAGCACTGGATGTTGTATCAAAGGTACGACCTCGTAGCACGTGCTAAACCTAAAAAAAATCAAAAATTGACTTGGGCCTGTGGGAGTCCGCGAGAGAACGCCCACTCGTTCCGTTGTGACAGATTCCAGGGCCACGTTGAGGGGCCCTACCCCACCACCCATGGCTGCTTCTGGACTTGTTTTAGGTTTGGGTCCCGCGCACGGACAGAATGGGCACGAAAATGTGAAAAAAATGTAAATGCATTTGTTTGGCTCCTGGGTGGCTCGCACACCGTGGCACTATGCCGGAAATTTGAGTTTTTCCGGCCTGGAAAGCCTGTCAGTGAGGCGCAAGAACTTGTAAATCATGTCCTGAGGGCCAGCATAGTGGCAGGAGTGTGTGGTCAAAATTTCACTGAAATCCACTGAGAAACACCAAAGTTACGGTCAATTGAATGCCATATGAAATATTTGGGTGATGTGCCCCCTTAAATCTAACAAAAACTCAATTTGTATTCAAATATGCACTCCCAAACATGAAGAGCCGAAAATCCATTTTCGGAAAACCATGCACTTTCGCCACCACACTTCCGAAAGTTCGACTACTTTTTCGACTGCTGCCGCCACATTCCGAAAATAATTCCGAAATTCGGAATGCAAAACCTCTCTAATGAGACATCAAGGCGTTCTGGCTGTCAAGTCAATCTACCTTTTAATGTTACTTCCGACGTAGGTTACTAGGCTGGTTCGATAGCTGTCCTTCTTCTTTTGGCATAAAAGAAAGGACAACATGTTACGAGTTATGACTTGTAACTGTCCACCAACGTAACCAGATCATACATGTATACATGGTACAGTCAGCGACTGGGACAAAATGGCACAAAACTGACAAGGAGTACTGAGACATTCAACGACCTGACACCTGGCTCCAACACTTCTCCGAGGCGCAAACCAACAACCTTCCAGCTTGGAAGGCTCAGGTTCGGAAAGTTCCAAGAGGAGAAGGAAAGCGCGGTGAAGAAGAGCACGAGCTACGTCCCACGGCAACAAGGAATGCCGAAATTTACTGGATGATGACAAAGAGGGGAAGGTAAGTCTCGTCTCTGGTCTCGTCATCATCCAGTAACAATCCACATTCTTTGCTCCGTTGAGACTGTAGCTTGTGCTCATTTTCGTTGCGCTTAACTTCCCCTCTTTGGTCTCTCCATAACCTTGAACCTTCCGAGTTGGAAGGCTGTCGGTTAGCGCTACGGAGATATGTTGAAGCTAGGTGTCAGGACGTCGAATGTCTCAGTACTCTGTCAGTTTTGTGCCTAGTTGTGGCACTTTCTGACTGTATATAGTATCTAGTTTCAGTGGTGGAGAGTTACTTTTAACTCGTTTCCATAATTATGTCCTTTTTCCTTTCTCCAACACTTCTCCAAGGCGTCGAGTTGTAGTAAGGCCGGTATGTCCAATAGTCCTACTAGTCAAGTTCGTCATCATCCAGTAACTTTCGGCGTTCTTTGTTGCCGTGGCGCGTAGCTCATGCTCTTCTTCGTTGCGCTTTTCTTTTTTCCTTTCCACGTGAGTATTTTCGCTCCTGCTCTTGTAGTAGTTAAGCACTCTCATGTGGGGTAGTGCCTTTGCTGTTTGCATTACGCAGAGCTCACTGACTTGTCAGTTTGAGCACTCTGGCAAGGTACGTTCGGGCCTGATTGGAAATTTTTATTTTCATTGCTATCAGGTTCGGTCTCATTTCCTCTGTGCTGCGCTGGTGAGTTCACAAAGAACGAAACAGCATGCTGTCCGCAGATTGAGTATTATTATTATTAAAATTTTGAAAAGGGCAATCCCCACAGGCCTAAGGCCTTTTTACAGGGTACCCTATGTGGTCACGTACAGATTTGCGGAATAGTGAAAACGAGGAGCAAGTGCGAATGTCAGCTGAGAGAGAATTCCAGCGGTCAGAAGCCAGAAAGCTCAAAGCGAATAAGCCATAACGATTGCGTGCTTTAGCCAGTTTAGGCAGAGCAAGTGAATCTATGGTCGTATGGGCTGGGAACGTGTACGGGCAGGTGTGTGTGTTGTGGCGGAACGAAGGCAGACATTGATTTCTATGTGCTTGTGAGCAGATGACTTACTTTAGTGTGACTTTTAGTTTTAGTTTTAGTGCAAGCAATCAACTGGGTACTCACTACTCGGAGTGAGGGTAACATGGATGCAGCTAACGAGGTTCTTTTCTCTTCGTCGTTTTTTTAAGCCTATCTGTGTCGTGGTGGCATGCAACAGGTGGTTAAAACGCACCGGAAGCTTGGTAGATCTACAGTGTCACTGCCACTTGTGGACCATTCTTTGCTCAAACGTCAAAGGCTAAGGCAAGGGTTAGGTTACACGTATGTCTAAGAAGCAAGTCTATGCATGGCCGCGGTATCACTACCGAATGGTTATTTGAATCCTACAGCTAAATGCATGGTGTTTCATCCGGTTTGCGGAAAGGAAATCTATCCACTGTATGCCAGCCGTGCGCGGCTACTGTCTGTAGACGGCTTTCTACGACACCGCAGATTGCATCATGCGTTGGCCATCTTTACAATGATTGTCAGCTGTAGAGATATCTAACCGAATCACAGCAAAGCAGAGGCGCCTACACGCCACCCTTTTCTGCTTTGCATGAGTTGAGATCACCAGTGGTCAACGGGTCCGGCCAGTTCAACGATCCGCGAACTCGTCTGCGCTGCTCGCCGATTCTCAGTACCGTTTTTGAGACCAGATGCAGGCGCTCCCAACTAATTTTGCACGCTGCTTACCATTGTTTGACCCCGATGGTCGATGTCGCTCAGAATCTCAGACTCGGAATCCCTGGGCGCGCATGGGATGCATGGGAGCGTTTTGGGACCAGACGTTCACACGTACATGCCGATCTACGTGGCATGCGGTTCATGTTGACCCTGATCCCGAACTAACTTAGAAGGTGCAACACAGCGTGGATTGAGAAATCCAGAACGTCTGGTTTCGTTTGCGACACACCAAGGGCCGGCAAGGTGCACTAAATTAGTTGGCTTTTTGCTTTAGGCCCGACAGTGCCGAGCGAGAGAGCGTTGTGCGCAAGATCAGCGTTCCTGTGGTGAGCAAGCGAGTTACGCTATATTCTCGCGTGGAAATGAAAATGTCGACGCTCCCCTGGGCGCTTGTCGTCCTTCACTTCTGCCTGCACTTTGCCACCGCGAGCGACCACGTGGCCGACGAGCAGGATGCAAGCGGCGCATCTCAACCCGTCTCGACGGTAGAGCGGACATCTGCGACCTCAGCAATGACGACCACCATCAGCATCTCGACAAAGAGCCCGCTGACAACCACAGCCGTGGTAAGTTAATTTAAAAAAAGTCTTTGGTCCAAAGTTTGGAGTCCTCCATGCCATGCTATGGTACATGGTGCCACGAATTCACACTCCTTGATACGCATTGGGATTAGTGATACTCAATCTTTGATATTTGATACTTGATATTTTCATATTTGGCCAAAGTAAGCAACAATAGCAAATAAAAATAAACCACTTGGGCTACAGAACATGTCTATGTGCTGCTGCCTTTGGCACTCATCACGTGGCTGAAGCATGCAGGTGGATGCAGAATTCCTTTTCTTTGTTTCTATATCCATACAAAATAGTACTCTATGTTTGTGTGGCGGAGACCTCACTTTAGACGTGAACCCTTCATTTCCGATGACGTCCATGCATGTGTGCGTACTGCTCCTCCTTCTCAGGCCACATTCCCTACGCCGGGAGTTCAAAGATCTTCTGCAAATTCTAGAACATCTGCTGCAAGGACTACAACAGAGCATGGCATTGCCAAGCAGACTACTTTTCCAACAGATCATCCGTCAACGGTAGTCACAACAAGTACGCCGACTTCACGATCAAAATCTCCTGCTGATGTTAGTAACGGTACTTCTCCAGTCCATACTACCCCGGTCCATACTACCCCGGTCCATACTACCCCGGTCCATACTGCTCCGGTCCATACTGCCCCGGCCCATACTACCCCAGTCCATACTGCCCCGGGCCGTACAGCTCCAGTCCATACTGCCCCGGGTCATACTGCTGCAAGCCAAAATTCAACAACACCTAATTTGAGTACACATCCGACCCATACAAGATTCAATTCTCCAAGCAGTCATACTGATTTCCATAGTGATGGCAGCAAAGAGCCGACAACAACTACACCGAGTACCACAAGTATGCCAAGAGATTTCAGCATTGCTGGCTTCACGTTTGAGCAGATAAATGTTGCCACACCGCTAGCCTGCATTGTGGAACGGCAAGATGGCAACGAGACGATGTGCACGATTGCGATGAGTATCTGTCAGTCGCCTGCGGTATCGGCTTGGAACCCAACTTGCGGTATAGAGGCACTTCTAAATGACTGCCTGCACAGGAGCATGGCATGGCGAGGCACTATACTGTTTGAGGCACCAGCCAATGAGCGATCGAAGAGCAGGAGGGTGCCAGTCAACCTAGAAAGGTCACCTCAGAACATCTCAGGAACTAATCCAGTGGTAAGCGCTAGAAGATTTATATATTCATTACTTTGAGGGGAAGTTGCAAACGGGAAAAATCTGAAGAATATTTGTTACGCATTGCAGTTGGGAGAATGAAGTTGAAGACACCATTGCAGCTGTACTTATGGTTGATAAATATGGTGGTAAAGACACACCCATCTTCTATGTGCCATGCGCTACTTGATGTACCAGCCTGCTATGCCGGATACCGCCAACCATGCATCGACCAGGCGCCAGGCGCGAACTGATGGTGGTGGTGGTGAGAAGGAGAGCTCTGTGCTAGAACTTTGCAGCCTAGAGAGCGTGTGTGGGCAGGCGTGTGTTCACCGCCATATTGCCGGGTGTGTCTTTACCACCGTATTTATCAAGCATTGCAGTTGATCTAGTTTAGCATACATTGCCATAGTCTACCTGAGATAAAATATGTGCTACGTAACTGCATGGTAAATCCAATGTGGCATAATCTGCTCTTGAGCTGCCCACATGACTCGGTCGAGTGAGCTAAATACGCTATACAAGACTTCTTATGGCCATGTATCCTGATTTCTAACTAATTCACAGCTACTGCCGAGCATGGTTAAAGAGGCCATCATACTGGATGTACTAAAACTGGATAGATACTGGATAGATACTAGTACAGCGGATTGCAGTTGAGCACTCCAGGTGCGATGGGATAATCTGCATG